TTATCATTGCCAGTTGGTCTTTTTTTATGATGAAGCGACGAAATGGCTTAACTTGAGAAAATGAGTGTGTCACTATTGAATCAGCAGGGTGGGAAGCCATGTTGACTGCGGACAGTAGAAGGACCATGACATTTTTACATATGGCAATTTTTCATTCGTCGACCAAGAAATATGCACACCTTAGATGCAGTAAACTTGTGCCGTGTTGGATTTTTGATCGTTAAAAAGAAACAATTATTTGTGGCGTTTAAAAAAATACAAGTCCTAAATAATCCGCTTAGCATTAATTCTCAAAATGTATGATTTACCTACATTTGCAGCCCATTATGTGCAAGATACCAACCGATAAATGACTTGATGAAAGCTGCTTCTTGCCCTTTTCATAAGTTTTGCGCTGGGGTATAAGTGGTGGATATAATTAATGTGCAACACATAAAGACTCATTCCATAATAATAAAGTATTCATTCAGTTATAACAAAGCTCAACACAAGCAAAAATAATATATCTAATGGACAATTGCTATGTGTGGGAAAAAAGACAAAAGCTGGGTCAAGCCTGACAACAGGTAACTCTAGTTCGTGTCTATGCATGTTTGAAAGTGATTCACTGTTTTTGAATCAGTGTCACAAATAATTGCAGCATTTAGGTTCATGAAAAATGTTATTGATTGGAAGCCTAAACTGTTTTGCTGTAGTACAATATGATTTACCATGAAAGCTCCCCCATTAGTAGTACTTAACGCACACATGTGTGTAAGAGATTTATTGGGGGTGGTAGCTCTAGAGGAACACAAGATAGAAGGGTTGTCTAGACTGCAGACATTTAATCCCCTGGATTATCTACTGGATAAAGGGATGCTGGAAACAATGAGGATCATTTCAGCAGTTCGATTTAATTGACATCATGCCATGTTTGTTAAAAATGACACATTGTACAGATTGAAGTTAGATGTTCTATCATCAAGGGAACAAATATTAAATCCATTACAGAACATAGACAAATAATCAAATATTGAAAATGCCACCTTCCCCAGGTGAGCATTTTTGTCCGATTATTGTCTCCCATAAGAATTAAGCTCCACAACCCACCCAGTATCCTTTGTTTTTGTTCTTAAATTAAGGACAGACCAATTGTTTTATGTTAGAGAAAAGTCTGGCCCAGTCTAGCACCCAGACTCTGTGAAGCTATTTTGTGACAATGGAGGCAGTATGTGCTTTAGCATCGTCTGGTTTAAGAAGATGGTAGGCCTGAAAAAGCTGTCATCTGTTTGTGAGCATGTATTGCACAAAAACCTGTTTATTCCTTCCAATACTGGTGGTGCTTATCCAGATGTGTAAGACGCCACCGCCACAGTCATTAAAGGAGGTCCCTACCATAAAAGATTGGTTTTGAACTGAACGCTTTGAACAGGCCGGATGACCTCCCTCCTTTTTTTAAACAGAAATTTGCAGGTTCCCTGATTTCCCTAAAAAAATATGGTTGACCGTAGAGCAGTTCCCCACTTTTCTTCAATCTATTTTAACTGATTTTTAGTTCATATAACTAACAATCTTTGAATTTGTATAAGCCATGTTGTAGGGAAATAAACAGATGTTTGATTGGAGAACTTGTTGTAAAGTTATAGTAATAAGTGTGTGAAATATACCGTAATTGCTTGTTCTCTTTCCTTCCCTCTCATTTCTTTTTGCTTTCATCCTTGCACTTTCTTCAGTGGCCCAGTTATTTTTTTCTTTTCCCTTCTACAAATAAAAAGGTCAATTCAACTACCCAAAACAAATCAGAAAAACTTAATGGCATAGAATTGGCACAAATCAGTGCCCTCCACTGAATGGTTAAACTACCCATTAAATGCGTTCAAATGGAAAAGGAAACATCTAAAATGCCTAACATGACATGATAAAAAATACTACAAAATACAAAAAGTGTATATCAGGCAAGACTTTCCTTTTTCAAATTTATTGCAGGTATTCTGTTATGTACAGTTTTATTTACACAGTTATGGATGTTTTCATGTCTGACGATCCTACTTTGATACTTTTTGACAGTTGTATAGTAATCTCTTCTGTTTTATATAGGCATGATTAGAAAATACTATACAATCATAAAAAGCAGGCTATAAAAAAGGAAATGGACCAACTATCTTTGATACATGCAAGAGCAAACTGATTTACATAGTTGAAAAATAAATACTATTGACAAATAACATTCTACCAACTACAAGCACTTAAGGATTAGTCTTTGTCCACATGTTTAACATACCTCTACCATACACCCATCTGCATGGTGAAACCAATCATTGCTTTATGATGTGTATCAAGTAAATGTGATTTACATTCTGTATGTTGTCCAATTGATACTTGATACAAATTTGACTGTCTGAAGTGCCATTTCGAGGATCAAATTCAAAATATTTAGAGCACACACATTCACTGGGTACAACATGAAACTGCATAAAATACACCATTAGTACTTGCACAAAGATAAGGAGTATCTCGACAAAAACAAAGTTTCCATGTTTGAAAAACAAAATTCCAAAGCAGTTTGATCTGTTAAATAAGAAAACATCATGATATCCATATTTCAACACCATGATAATGTGACCCTGTAGTTTTTTTTCCGACATATCAAAACAATGCAGATTAAAGAGGTTCAGAGGCACAATTCCCTGTAAAATGACAACTCAGATTTGTGGATTGCTTCTTCATCTTCAGTGTCAGAGCTGTTCGGTTCTACCATCTCTGTGAATAAATGTCTGTTATCCTTTTCCCAGTTTTATAGATAGCGTGTGTAGACCACATTGTGAAGCTCTTTACAACACCACAAAGTTTCACAGAACAGACCATCTTTGAACCTCAGGTAGAAAAGTACAGAAAATGGCCAATGCTTGCTTGAAAATAAAACAAAGGATCCTCATAAGACCAGTTTCCTCTTATTCATTTAACCTTATTCTCCTCCACAGCATGGACTAGTTATTGCAGTTGTATCAAAATGTGTGGGTAAATGTATTTGAACATTTAAAAATCTAAATACAAAGATGTCAAGATGATGACATAGCATTAGCACTGCCCAAAATCTGCCATTTTAATTGGAGTTTCAGACTACTGCTGTAACTATGCTGTCACTTAATAGCCAATTTCATCTGTTGATCTTTGAGTAGCTGGGAATGATTCATACACTTGAAGCAACACTGGATATTTTCTGACCCTATAGCTATGCTTCTGACTCTTCTTTTTTTTTATCTACGCTGACCTTTGTTATGTACATTCCTATGTCTGAAATTGCCTTGGACTGCCTGGTAGCTGAGATACAACAGTTCATGACTTTGGTTTTCAGTTCTTAACAGCACTGTTTTACTCATCGCTTGACATTCTGTGTTATTTAGATGGCATCTTTGATGCTTTTATCAACAGGACAACACATTCAGGGGACTGGTTTTATTGCAGTGGGGTTACATTATTTGATTTAAGGGGGGAAAAGAGCAAAATGAGCCAAGTGCCATCGTGTGACTTTACAGCTATGTTCATGAACTCTAAGCCTCGTGTGGATAGAGAAGACTAAAACTTGCAGTCTTTGAATGTTGGTCACACATCCTGGATTCACAGCCTGGTGAGCAAAAGTGTAATTCTGTCATTTACTTCAAATTAACAGTTAATTTAAATGACTGATTAGAACATTTTCTCATTTTCAACTGTCTGATAGCCAGTTGTTTTTTGGCACAGTACTTTTAAATTTGAGCAAGATTTAGTTGACGTGTGGTTAGTGAGTCATAAGTGTTGTGTAAATATACACATCAAATGTTGGTAGTACAGTGCTAAGACAAAGCTTTCCTTTCCTTTTCTGGATTTCAATTCAGAAGTCAGAACTAGCTATTTGAATGACATTATGCCCATTAAATCTAGGATTATCTTTGGGGTAACCAGGGTTTTCCACTGATGCAAAACAGGCGACTAAAGAGGTTCCACACATTACATGGATTAAAGGTTTTGATCCACCCTAAGGGTCTACACAATGGGTAACCATGAGAGTACGCAGCAACGGAGAGAATTTCAAGTGAAAGTTTGATCTGTTACATAAAGCTTCAATGCCTCAAATCTGCCAAAATGTTGGATAGGCTTCATAAGGCATCCTGGCAGAAACTGGCTCATGGACAGCTATTAATCTGATAAAAAAGAAGGCATTATTGTAGCTCTCTGATGTTGATCTCTAGGTCAGTACTTTACTTTAAATTTGACAGTGCTATTGCCTTATTTGATGAACTGGTAGTCACCAGGAAAAGTCTGTTATAGATAAATTATTTCAGAGAAGAGCTGTGGCACTCCTGATTTTCACCAATACCAATGTAAGCATGTAAATGATATCAGACAGAAGGCGAAAATAGAAAAACTTTGACACAAATTTAGGAACAAGCACTGAAGACCCACAACAAAAACTCACGTCTGGTTAAAATTTCCCCCAACCTATAGCACTTTACAAGGTACATATACTACAGAAACCTCAAAGAAAATGAGAACCAATGTGACTGAAGACAAACACAAAGTCAGGACATGAACACACAACAAAAGTTTTGAACTTGATGAAGAAAAAAATCTAAGAAATATATTCACTGGTCAACGACATCCAAAACACAACACTACAAAAGAGCGCAGACATCCTCGAGTCTGCAGGGCAAGCATCTGAAGCATTTCTGCTCCTCTGTTTAATGTCAGCGCTCTCTGCACCCCAGCAGTCTTTGTGCATGTTCTGTTCCACGTTCTCTTCTTCCACATTTATGTTGCTTGCTTATAAGTGCAGATGCTGTCAAAACTACTTAAGTGATAAGATGCCTCCTGTCCTTGTCACCACCTTACGAGTGTCCAGTGTTCTCAATCAGACAACACTGATCTCATTAAGATGAATAGGAACGTATCTTTAAAAATATAAATATAAATTTGTCTAAACTTTGCCTTAGCTTGGTCCTTTTGTGTGATGTTCCTGTTAGACCTGCATCTATTCAGCTCTTTTAGCTGTTCTCACTCCATTCTGGCATGATGCTGACACTGTGCACAGAGTGGTACTGATGTGGTGATAGTGTGCGCGGTATGCCGTGTGTATAGATGTACTCGTTTCCCTGCAGGCCAGCTGTCGGTGACTGGATTCCAGCCCCAGGACTGCACTGGCGGCCCAGCGTCTGGTGGGTCATGGAGCTCTGGTACATCGCTGCATGGTGGCCATCAGCCAGTTGGGGAGAGGCGTGGCCTCCCACCCCACCTAGTCTGGACACCAGGGAGCCCGAGGTGAAGTGAGCAGAGAAGTGCTGGTAGGGCAGCCTCTCCATCGGTTGCATGGTGGTGACAGAACAGCTGCCATAAGGCGAGACGCTGGCCCAGGTGTTGCAGCTGATGTCCTCCAAGCTGGGAACAGGTTCAGCGCCCTGCGAGGCGCTGGCATACATACAGGCCTGCCGCTGGCTGGATTCACTACGGTAGGGCCCACTGGCCAGGCTAAGGCTCTGGGCGTAGCCAACTGGCCGGTAGTAATGGTCCTCCTCGCTGGAAGAGCTCTCCAGGTAGGCTTTCTTATAGCTGTGCTCACCTGAGTGACAGTCATCCTCCACTGCAAGTACAATAATGCGTTGACTGTTAATGAAGTGCATTTTTTCAAATGATTTTTGTTTTTTTGTAAACATTCCTATAAGCTTTTTTTTAGAATTAAGCTTTTATAAACCTATGGATGAATGTCTGTATTATACCAGTGGGTTGTGGAGAGGATTTTAGCTTCTTTTGCTTCCACGCAACTAGAAAGAGTTAAAATAGCTTAATTAAAAACAGAAAGCTAACAGCCAGCTATTTTGTTACCATTGTGTTTTCCAGATATCACTGTGAATTAATTTATTATTAACTCCACTATTAAGTAAGACATATTTACTCAATGTAAGTTGCTTAAATTCGGTGTATATTTTCCTAATATAAATGACAAAAATATACAGTTTAAATCTGGAAAATGAGATCACAGCATATTCAAACGCACTTTTGTATGTTTTCATGTTTTCTCTTTGTTTGGTCATTTATTCAGTTGGCTTTTTTCTTCTATGTATAAAAGGGCTCTAGAATCATGTATGCTCCTTAACTTACTGAATGATCTCATTACCAACCCTGCCATTAAAAACCATTTGCGTGACACACACTTGGTGGATAGTTTGACACTAAACCCTTAAAAGTGCATGTACAGCACACTGCTGTCTTTTAGAAATCATGCAGAGGGAGCCTGTTGTATGGGTCACAGCTGCCAAACGTGTCAGACAGAAGGTGGCGGGAGGTGTTTAATGGTGTACAAATTAAGAAAATTACCTCTTTGTTACTAAAACCCATTTTGAGTGTGTTTCTGATGCAACATTCTAACCTTTCGTTAACTTATTAGCTTACTAAAGTAGTCTTTTGTAAGACATGTTAAATAAATCTCTTCCAGGCCACCAGCATTTAATCTGATCCTTTCAGGGATTACAGTAGAGTCTCTTACCTTTCCTCTTGATGCAGTGGTACTCTTGGCTGTGCTCATGGGGCAGAGGGTAGGAGCCGGACTGCGGCAGCATGTCCTGTGAGGTGCTTGTGACCCCGTTCTCACACTGGGAGTACTGAGAGCTCAGGGTGCTGGGTGTGGCCATTCCTTGGATGTCCCCACTGAATGGACTCTGGCTGGATCCGACTCTTTGTCGCACAGTACTTCGAGGTACTACTGGGTACTCCTTTGTACTATGTTCATGCACGCACATAAGCACAGTCGAGAGAAAATATCTATAAGGAACTGTGTAAAATACTCCATTTTACAATACAGTTGTTTGAATCTGTACAGCTAAAACTGCTGCAGGACCTGTTCTCAGATACAGTCACTACCACTCAGGACCCACAAAGACACACTCCTCTGGGGGAATAACCTTCTGTAAAAAATGCCAGAATATGTTTTACTCCTATTAATCCAGCAGATCCATCAATAGATCATTGTGGTATGTTTGGTTCTTTGATTTCAGGAAGAGCTTGAGTTGAAAAAGTGACCTGGTTTTGCAATCAGCCCTCCCCTTAAAAGTGTAACCAAGAGCAGACGTGCAATACTCACTGTACTAGACAAAGACTGGACAAAGGCATGTATGATTGATAGTGTGGTTTGGACTCTCACCATGTTCTATACATTTTACAAATTTTGATAGCTGAAAAGCACTCGCTCAAGCCGTTGCATTATCCTGTGGCACACACCTACTTAAAGCAGCTTAATGTGTGTCCTGTACAATCAAACTTTTGAATTTTAAAAAAGAATTTAAAGCACCAAAAGTTTCAAGTGTTGTGAGATTTTCACTGCAACATAAATTGTTACATTCATCGGAAATTCCTGCATTGGAAAAAACAAAAATGTTTTATGAGTCGAGAAAAAGTTAAGGAAAGGATGCAGGATTTCCAGGTCCTGTGCAAAGGCCAAAGAGCTATTCCAGTTTTGTTTGATTTGGGATTTCTTGATTTGGAAACCCTCAGTGTCTGCACTGGCTGCCCATAAAAGGGGGGAGTAGGCTTTTCAGAACCAGATTTTCTCCTTTGAAAAAGTGTTTTCCATGCAGTGTGGACTTATACTCCATCCCTCATCTGGAGCGAATAACAGAGAGCGATGCAGCCGTGTACTGCCTTGGCTGTATGATCAAGTGATATCCACTAGCTCAACATGAACGTACACGCAGACACACACGTGGGAACACACACACACACACATGCAGCAGACACATGAGCAGTTGGAACATCCTGGTTGAAAAAAAAAGGAAAAAAAAAAAGAAAGCTGTGTGGAAGGTAGATGTTACAGTCGTGTTTCAGAGGTTCTGCCAGATCAGTCATAAAAGTCTTCAGCATGAAAACTGGCTGACAGTCAAGATCTACACTTACATCACTGAAAATAACACTCACTGAAAGTAACACTCATGGCTGGCTTACATTTGGGTGATTGAAGGATTAAAGTGGGGCTTGTTAAGTGACAGTGGGAGCAGGATGTCAGCAATTTCTGCCTAACTGAAGTGACATTTATCTACTTATTTGACATCATTCAGTTTGTGTAAGTCTTTCCACATATCAGAGACTCGGATCAATTAAATTTTACGAGCAACATGTTTTACAAGGGGAAAAAAAAAAGATAGTTCTTAACTTAAGCTACCTTTGCATTCTGGACATCCGGTGTAATTCCATATCATCGCTTCCACGAAAGCCTTTTGCAAACGGGTTGTTTTCAATCTTCAGCTGTGTGATCTGAAACACAAAGAATGCTTTTTAATGACAACAGTAACAGTTTTTATAGCTCTTTTTTTATGTTTTGATATTTAATTACAAGAATGAATCCAACATGCACCAATGTCTTTTGTCAAAAACACCTTTGAAAGAAAAAAAAAAATTTAAATGCAACATTTTATTTGATGGCAGACTTCCCTATAGTTTTTTTTTTTACAAGTTTTGTAACTTGACAATAAAGCCCACAGTAATTTTTAAAAAATCTTTTATGTAGGTATTTTACTCCTCTTAAGTAACCTATGAGAATTGAATATTACATTTTCTGAAAGTCTAGTTGATTTTAGAGGCCCAAAGCTCAATAAATAAAAAAGAGACATGTCACAATACGCCCTATTTTCAGCGCATATACATTATCATTACACTGGAAAGTTATATAGCACGTGCACAAAAGATGCAATGAATGCATCACTTATTTAAAAGTGTTATTTGTAAATGATATTGGTGTTATAATTTTCATAACTATACTAAATACTTTGTAAATTGTTCTTCTTAGAACAATGTCCAAATTAAAAGTTGATCTTTCGTAGAATTCAAGCAGAATCAAGGGATATCCCTGCTAGAACAATGCTTTCTGGAAGCTAATGAGTTTGCAGTGCTTTCAGCTCTCTGACAGCACTGGAGGTTTGCATGCACGCTGGCTGACACCTACACCAGACCTTGTAAAATCTCTCATGTGGGCACAATGCATGCTTTTTGTTAATCCATGCCAGAAAGGAGACAATTCATGTTCTTTTCCATCACTTCTAAATTTTTAAAAATAATACAACAACTTTATTTAGCGCTTGAAACCCTTACAAAAATGTAAACAATTTCAGCTTGCTGGATTTAGAAAAAGACCATTAAGTATTCAGCTATATGGATTTGAATTAGATTGTGCTTGGAAAATGGGAAGAAAGAGAGCGCAGAGAATGAAATAGGTTGAAATTAAATTGGGGAAAAAAGATCTCAAGACAGTCAGGCAAAAGTCAACTTCAAAGACGGTAGTTTTACTAGACTCCATGTCTAAACGTTGCTCATTAAAATAGCTGAGGCCTGCATAAACATATTTCCAGAAACATTGGGGTATTTTTGCAAAAGAAAAAATGAAGTGCTTGAAAAAGATTTATTAGATAGAACTTAGCTGTAGATTTTCTGGCCAGCATTCACTTTTCCAGCTTGAGAAAATTCTTAAGAAAACACATTTCCCAAGAAAACACAATTTGGAAAAAAAAAGGGCGTTTTAATTGCTGCTGTGACAGGAAAGACCTGTAACCTGAAACTTTGGCCATTTTCATTAGCTGAGAGTCTAACAGGTGAATTGGACACATGCCTGCAGCACATATTGCTCTGACAGATGTCTGACTGTTTGATTCAACAGTTGTGGTAAAAGGCCTGGAAATCAGAAATGCTTGTTTTTTTCTGCAGGTCTGGAGAGCCCAAATAATTAGCCCAGGGTTACGATCTGAGCCCCCAATAACATGCTTGAAAATAATGAATGGTTTCTACAGAATGTTGGTCATTTGTGCTTCCTGTTCCCAGAAGTGCAGAGACCTCTGATTGGCTGCAGGGACATTATGAGCGTTCGCCCCCTTCTTCCAATATCCCCCAAACTAGAAACATATAGGTCCACATGGCCAAATGATGGCTCGCAGACGTTGTTTACAGATATTTGTATTCCCAAGATTTCCCCCCTCTCTGAAATCTGGACTGCGTGATCACAGAGTCTAAGAAAAGAAAAAAAAAAAGCTGGGCAGCTTCAATAATTAAATTAATTTAAACCTAATACCAAACTACAATGTTATTGGCCGTTCTTTTTTTTTTTTAATTGAGACAAGTTTTTAGGATTTAAATGGCGAATAAGCGCAATAGAATCCAGATTCAGGCCTTTTTATTAATTTGAGTTTAACACTGATTCAGCTCGGTAAGAAAGGAATTTTGGCTTATAAAAGAGAACAGTTGAACGTGAAAATTTTCACGTGGGATATAAATAATAATATAAGTTATTAGAATGATTTTTATTTTAACGAGAAGTGGTATATTATTCTAAAGATCTAAGATTAGTTGGTTAACGAAGTTTACGTGATTCGTTATAACTGCTCCAAAATTAAGTTAAAACAATAAAAAAATAAAAAAAGCACCTTTTGAAAATATTATATTGTATTATAATAATTATAATAGTGATTACTATCGTTGTTGTTGAGGGGCCGGCGTAGGCTACTGAGCATTAGGCCGGAGGTTTATCCGGATTATCTTCAGATCGTCTACAAAGAGCTCCAACTCCAGAAAGTCGCTTGTCGCTTTTTTCACTTTAAACACTTCCAGTTAAAAGATGTCTTTCATGAAAGGGCGAATTTAAAGTTTCCTGTTTACCGCATCTCAAACTGGACTGCAGCCAGAAGCAGAGCAGGAGTTTACCTTGTGGTTCTGATAGGATGTGACAGCAATGAAAGAAGTCTCCGGGAAGACGTGCGTGCAGAAGGCTGTGTTTTTGGAGCCGAAGCCGTTATTTTCATCCGCTTTCACAATGTGGATCCTCGGCTGATACTTGTGCATCGAATTTAGGATGATCTAGAATATAGAGAAAAAGCAGCGTTATATCTACACCACACCGTGTTTTTATAAAGAAAAGCTAAGGCTGAGAAACCCCCCCCCCCAAAAAAAAAGAAATAAATAAAGAAAGAAAGAAAGAAAGAAAGAAAGAAAGAAAGAAAGATATTCAAAAGGTATTATAGTTCATAAAGGAACTCCTGAATTGAAAGGTAAAAAAAACAAACAAAAAACAATAGTGAAAATATTAAAATAAATTTTAAGTGGCTTAGACAAAATAATTTGTGATAACACCGAGAATATGATGCCAACACAATTCCAACATGCACCTAAATAAACTTAACCAGACTACATCTAACATTTCTTGAACTTTGCTGTGTCAGCATATAAACTTTTAGAAGTTTTGTATTAAATCAGTTCATTTGGGGTCCTGAGCAATTGTCATAGACAAATAAATTACAAAGATCTTACTTAATGGTGATCAGCATTAACCTTTGAAATTGACTAAAATGCTATTTAACTATTTATCCAGATATAATTTTTAAATGGTTTATTGTTGCCTAAGCAAAAACTGTATTAATCATTAAATGAAAAAACAGAATTAAATAAAATGTACAATTTGAATTTATTTAATTTCTACCGAAAACAAAAATCTTTGGAGAACATTTACCATCTACAGAAAGTTAAGGCCTGACGAGCTGTGTGTAACCCCAAACAAAACATTACTTTGTATCTTAAACTGAGTACTGTCTCCATACAGTGGACTAATACAAAGCACCACTGGTTGTGGCCCCAGTTACAGTGATTCCATGCTGTTACGGCCTGATATGAATGCATCCTCGCTCTCCATGCTCCCATAACCCAGTTTTAGCTCAGGGATGACTCCTACCAGCAGCTAGTTTGGAGACATTAATACACGGCTCACACAGCTGAACTTGAGCCTTGAACTTCTCCTTTGAGGGCCCCTCATCCGTGGATTTCAAGTCTAATCATTTTGACATATCTGGCAGTCATATCTGTCAGCCTCAAAGAAATCTGATGCTTTTTTATTTTCATCAAATTCCATTATATTTAAAGATAAAAATAGGACTTTTTTTCTTGCCCTCTTCTTAACTCCCTCCTCTTCTTAGCATCCCCCCACTGCCCTGTCCCATAGGCATTTTCTCCTATCTCTTATCTTCAAGATTGTTTTTGTACCTGCCTTTCACTGCCAGCTCAAGAAGAGACAAGAGATTGGCCTGACCCCCAGCACCTGTGGGGGCATCCTGCAGCATTACGCAGACAAAACCCAGATTCTTTTCAAAGAAGCTTGCATTGACCATCGCCATCCATTATTAATTTGGAGTTGAACTTGATCGCATTTTATGGTGGAATAGGTTTTTGTAATGGGCAGGAACTGGTGCGTTCCAGCTTTTTGCAATGTTCTCCACACAATACGATGCAAACAATTTAATGGACATGACTGACCTCATGCAGAACGTATCAGTTAAAGAATGTTGGAGGTTTTACTCCACTGAGTTGAGTAGACTCTGGATTTAGTTAGTTCCATGGTTTTTTAAGTGTCCTGCTCTTTAGTGTGCCTAAAACATGCCTTTACGTTTAAAATGACCAATCTTTGATAGAAGTTCTCAAATTTAACTAAGTCCAGAGAAGAAAAAGTAGATTATTTTCAAGACATTTTTGTGTGTGCATTCATTACTGATTTATTAAATGGTCTGCAGAGATCTATTCAAAACTGGGACAAACCAAAACCATTTTATCAATGCAAGACTATCATTCAGTGCACAGGAAACTAGGGATATCTATCACTGAGACAAAAAAACATGTTGTGTCTACATTGCAATAAAGAAAATAGAGCGGCCCACTGACTGTGGGTTCCTGAAGTCCAGTATTTGTGCAAAATGAGGGCTGTTGGTAGGGTCATAGCTGTGGACCACCCACTGGGACCCTAGTGTACGCGTGGTCTCTGTAGCCTAGTTCCCTGCCTGGTTCCTTGTGTCGTTGTTCCCCCACCCCCTAAACCCTTCTCCCGGCCTCTGGATGATACTATTTATCGATAGTGAGGGATCACTTTGGGTCTCACACCGCTGCCCTTTGCTTTCAAGTCCCGCCACATCAGAGAGTTTCCCCGAGCCCCGGGATTAGCAGGCTTTGTACACCATCATCTATTGCTCATCGCACACTGCCATTCAAGTATAAACAGTGCGATCGTCACACTCCACCCTCCCGGCCAAAACATGTGTGGGAAGGCAGGGAGACGAGTGTAGCAGCAAACTGACGGGTGGGGATGAATAACGCTGAGAAACGTTTGCACACTGAGAGTAAGATCAAAGCAGAAAGTGCATCCTGGTATGAAGCTTGAAACAAAAACAAGTTATATTTAACATTTACAACACTGGAATAGCCCCTAGTTTGGATGTTTAGATGTGAAATAATGAGACCAAAATTACAGCAGCTATAAAAAAAAATTTAAACAACAGGATGTTGAAAGTTTCACCGAGTAAAAGTATGCAGGTATTATCAGATAAATGCTAAAGTAAAGAATTTAAAACACTTGTCTTTGGAATTTTGCCTAAAATTCCTAAAATTAGTACAACTGGATTTGGGTAGGATGTTCCAGAGGGTTAAGTCCAGCTAATCTGAGTCAGTTTTTATGATGAACTGAGTACACTGATCATTGTAAGTTAATTATTTGGGCAAATCCTTGCATGAATAAAGAGTATAAAGTGGCATAGAAGTTGTAGCAATGTCAAAACATTAAAATACTTTGAATTAAAAGGATGGATTTAGTTTTCGAAAATGAAACTGAATTTAACACTTGCTTTGCCAAGTACAGTTCCTGAATAACAAAAACAGATCCCCTTAAAACTATGACATCATCGTAATGTAAAATACTATAAAAAGGCTATTTATTAACATAAATGTGACTTAGATACTGTTGAGGACCCTCTTTCTGTTTTCTGAGTCTGTTTTCCATAGAAATTCAATTTTTTCCTCCTTGATATATTAGAACATTTACAAAATATTAAACATGATCGTAGTCATAGTGCTTTCATTAAAAAAGAAAATGCTCTCATTAAACGTAAATTATTTCAGGGCTCCAGTTTCAATGTGACACGGGCCGTTTGCATTTTATTGATCTGTTTTCCCTGAATCAAGAAAAGCTGCACAATAAACCGTATTCAACCGTGTGCCTTCCCTGTTCTCTGAGCTGCCAGGCCTGGCCCTTTCTCAACTTCAACATGCAGTCGAAAGAAGAACAAAAAAATCATTTCCAGGCATGCTCCACACTGGCCTAATATGACCAATACGTTTTGCTCTCATGTCCCACTAATTATAATTCATCTACAAGTTATTTCAACCAGCTGGACCAACAAGCTGACAGAGTTAGTATTTCTAGCCAGCCACCACTATTTCATTTATGAATCCCATGGTGGTGTCTCCCAGCACGAAAAAAGGGGGCAAGCCAGAGACCTCTGCAACCAATCAAGAACGCACTTTAACCAGAAATTTACAATGCTGCTCAATGAGCTCCAATTTTGTCTCAGCAGCTGGGCTTTGGCAAGAAACCAGTCTCCATAGGTTCAGTGTTGCCAGTTTTGGCACGTTGCAATAGGCTTCACTAGCTAACTGAGACACTGAGACCAATCTAATTTTAGACCCATTGATTCAAACTTGAGGAAGACATATACATGATATGGCTGTGTTAGAATACACTTCTGCTTCAAGCTCTATAGGACCTTTAAATCTGCAGTCAGCCCTCATTCCGCTCGTCAGTATTAACTGCCATTCGACACAATTATATTTTAAAAAGCAGAGCAACAAAACACAACATTTCCCAGCCTTTACCAGAGATTTGGACAGTTTTACACCTCTATTAACTTTATGTGCTCCCTTTTCTAAAAAGAAGCCTGCCATTGAATAAACATCATAATTGTTTTTTTTCCTTTTAATGGCTCAGCTTGTTCCTAAGAAAACTAATTGACAGTATTCTGTTTCTAAAACAAGACATCTAATTGGGCCTCAGCGTGCCCACCAACTCACAATTGTTACAAAAGCCTGAAGCCAGAAAGACCGATTGCTGATTAAGTAATTTTGCTTTCTGTTCTAATGTGCAAAACAAGAATTACAAAAACTCTGGGGCTAGATAGTGAATGTTGAATAATGAGCAGTTAAAGCAAGGAAATGGGTACCATATTCCCTGGATGGTGGGGAGTGCAATTACCCTAAAAAAAAAACTAAAGAAATAACAAAAAACGATTTTTTCCACTCATGCAAACTAGCTTCCAGAATGTCTACAATACATTAAGGGGTACCTGAGCTAAAGGGGAACCAAAGGGGTTGTAACACATGCAAAGAAAAATCTAAGTGAAACAAATGCATACTTTGAGATTGTTGTATTTATGTATCTTTAATTGTATCCATTGTGCAACAGAAGGTCACACTGTGCAATTTAAATAAATCACATTTCGCCATTAAAAAAAATGTACACATATTTAGATTTGGGACGGTGTATCAGACATTTCTGAGTAAAAAAAGGGATTTTTATCCATGAGAAAAAACTGAATTGCAACAATTGACGGGAAATTTACCAGAGGATTTCATAAAGACAAAACACACATGCCTGCCAGATTAAAGGAGGGGATTCCATTTTGAATACATTTCCCCCTTTAGTGTAGCTGTCTGATTTTTTCATTGGCATCAAAAGTACCGGTGAGTTTAGAAAACTGCACGAAACTTTTATTCTATATAACCTGTTCAACCAATCAGTCAGACAATCAAAACCGCCCAAGATTCTTCAAAAATACATTGACAAAGCAAGGCGCTCGCAATTTTTTTTTTTAAATGGTAAAGATTACACTTTTTTAAAAGAAATTCGTAGAAGAAAAAAATTGTTAAAGTTTTTTTTAACTGTTCTATATTTCGCGAAATATCTTAGACTTACACTTCAATCTTTAAATAAAAGATCAGTTGTCTATTCGTTTTATTGGAACGAACTTTAACTTTTAACGAATGGTTTAGATAGATTTTCGATGGTTAAGAGTAAAGTGAAAGTTGTCATTGATTATCATTGATTATAATTACCATAATTCTAAACAAGAGATTTTTAGATTCCAGTCCACGTTAGACTCAAGACAAACGTATTGCAAATTTCTGGCTTATAAACAAATGTAAATTGATCCACAATTAAACACGATCAGACCTCCACGCTGCACCAGCGTTTCTGCGCAAACACACAAAGACCAAAACAGGTTCCCGCAACAGGACCTGCACACCACCAGGTCCCTGCAGCTCTCACAGAGACACAAACACGGGCTCGGATAGTATGATAGGCCTAGGCACCTACGTGTCCGAACGGGTCCAGGTGGTTGTTGGTGAGCTTCAGCTTCTGGAAGGAGACCAGCTGCCTCATCCAGTGCGCGCCCGTGGCCGGAGAGTCCGGGTGGACGTAGAGCCTCCCGGGCATGGCCGGCTCTGCTTTTCCGGTCACAGACCTGACACACGAAGACACGGACACACGTTTACACCTCTGACCGACGCGTCCAGACCTCAACTCTGCAGGCGCCAGAACCCTGTAGTCTGGACTAATAATTCAATATTCTTTCCCTAACGCATGGAGTAACTAAAAGATATATATTTAAAAAGTGCATATATTTAAGAGTTTACTGTAATATATATTAGATAAAGTTTCACATTCAGGAATGAGGCGCTGTCTCGTGTCCAAAAAACATTTTTTTGGAAAAGTAAATAAATTGCCACCCTTGAAACGCACTAATCGAGCTACCCCGTTTTACAATATAACCTCAATGAACTAAAGTTATTCTGCGTATCTGAACTGTTACCACACAGGCTAGGGCATGTATTTTTGCACGGGCAGTTAAAGCAAGGGTTGTGCACCAGCATTGTCTGCAGTGTGTGATTATCCCCTCTTTTAAAGACACTGGCTCAAAGTAGGTATTCCAGCCCAGGGTTGGATCAACATGGCTACACTTTTATACCCAAATGTGAAAGGCTGTCTTTTCTTTGCTGCACATGTGGGCAGCAGAATTTCAAAAAGAAAAAAAAAATCACCACTTCTTAAATAAACACTCTGAAACACGTGTCTGTGCCACTCTTGGCAATCACTACAAAATACACAGTTCATAATTCTCCAGGAAATAATAAGTTCACTTCCGATTCTGCCAGAACACTGCAACATTTCCGGCGAGAATCGACTTCAGAAAAAGACCCCAGAAACTTTCAGACGCTTCTTTCTTCCGTTTTGTCTCTTCTTTCTATTTTCAATCAAACATCTAAATAATAGGACGCAAAATGTACACCCACCATTTATTGTCAGCGAATTTGTATCGATGGTCATCCGCAGGAACAACATCCATCAGGAGAATATATTTAGTTTTGGGGTTTAATCCCGTGACTTTCACTTTGAAGCTGGGGAACATTCTCCTGCAAAGAAGAAACCACCTTATATTTGTCAAACCGTGGAAAAAAAATGGCATTTAGACACAAAAAAACACGAAAACAAATCGGTAGGGGCATGGGGGGAACAACCACTTCAGTTTTGCAAAAATTAACTCGTTTACTGAGCAACAAAACTTTAACTTCATATGAATAAAAACGTAGTTTTCACCTTTTTATTTTAAACTCGCCCAGTTTTGCACAAAATCAACTCGAGGGAGTCCAGGCGAATTGCAGAAATGCCTTTATTTGGTTTGGAAAAGGAAACTCTTTAGGGGCAGGGAGTCGGGTCTGAGAGGGACCATTATGAAACGTTTTCACTGTGCACGCCAGTTTTTTTCTCTTTAAAGATTCGCGTTGCGTATCAGTGGACATTTGGTGGCGTTCACACTGATGGAGAAGAAGAGTTCTTGCATCCCCAGAAAGTTTTCGGTGACTAACGGAGGCCGAAGAGGGACGCTGGTGTGTTTTCAACCATTTATAACCCCGATCAGACTACAAATGACTAATGGAGATATCATGCAGATTTCTGAAAACACGCTCCGTTTAACTGTTCATATCAATAATTTACTGCGCATGAACTGTGAGCCTTTTTTTTTTTTGCCTCGGGGAGACACCAGCAGTAATCGTGCATAAATATATGTTCACACTCGGCTCTGTGAGCTGTTCTGACCGGACACGGTGTGAGGGCGACTGTGGAGCTGACAGCAACACGCACTTAAAATCCCTGCACGACTTGTTCCTGCACATGTGCTGGATCAGAAGAAGTGTCTGGATGGAACTGTTCAGACGCACGCACACGCGCCCACCGAAGTTTCAAATGGAAGAGCACATGCTCCCGAAGATATCTTTAGCTCCAACAAAAATGGGCAGAAATTTCCCTTAAAAAGTTTGCTCCCTCGTGCTGGTTAGCCAGTGCAGCTTCCAAAAAAAAAAAAAAAGCCACCCATGCTCAAATATGATGGTTTGGTTGCAGAGAACTATTGCAGGCCAGATATTTTTTCCTTAAGAGTGTGTTTACCTTTACGCATAAGCACCCCTCCCCCCTCTTCTAAAATATATAAATTAAAAGATAAACATAGAGTGCAATCCGTTCCACAAAAATAATGAAATTATACTTTTAAAAGATGGTTCCATTGGGTATTTCTAAGTCATGACAGAGACATACAGATGCTCTTACCGTCCCGCTTTGGTTATGATCATCTCGGTGCCAACCTCATGAAACTTCATCCACAGTTCCCTTTCGTGCAGGTAGACTTTTATTCCCTCCATTCCCTTCAAAAGTAAAACAATTCACTGCTTGCGGCCCTCACTGTTCACACAGTCACACTGAAGGCTCGATATATCATGCATACCAATAACATGCCACTTCAGACACATTAAGCGCGTTTAAAGCTTAATGGACTGAGTCCAAATCCAGTCTGGCTGTCATTCCGCCAGAGTGGACAGTCAAATGACACAAAGAAGCGAATATCGTGTCGTACTAACATAATTTATGAGCAATATCACTTTAACTTGTCTGTTCAAAAAACATAATTCATTAGCTGCCAACGATTAGATAATAAACAGCAGAGCGTGAAGTACACCACGCGAGAATGAGATTACAAACGAGCAATTTAATTGTTCTTTTTTTTAATGGAACGCGTCATTCTGTAGTAAAAAAAAACCTGGGCACTTAAAACAGGTCACACGTCAGAACCGTACAGTTAAAGCCACTGTGAATTTTTTATCCAAAATATATTTTTTAGTGGTCTCAAAGTTACAGAATAGGCACAAATGTTTTGGGAACTTGTGCACTTTAACAATCACTGTAACAAAGAACTTGAGGCGTAGCTCCGAGAAATGTTGGTCCCAATAATTAAGCTAAAAATTGAAACTTTCCAGAATGACTATCCAGACTGAATCATTTTATACTTTAGTAGCCCAAACATCAATGTATCAGCCACCCTTTGCTAAATGATCGCGGGGGCTCTCCCTCCAGCGCGGCCTGCAGCCTGGAGGAGTCCAGCCGAACGAGGCCTGAGTCACACACTGACCTGCTGGATGTACGTGGTCTGGGATGATGGCGATTTGCTTGATGACCCGTTCTGTTTTTCTGATTTGCTCTCAGTCTGTAATTCTCGCGAATCCGAACCACTCGGGGAGCTTTGGAGGACAAAAGTCTCTTCTTGGTCCGCCATGATCGAAGCTACGGAAAACCAGCTGGAGGACCCAGACAGAGGTGCCAGTGTGTGATGCGCGAGCCTCCTGAGAGCTTCAACGGAGACTGATGTTTGATAAGTTCAAAAAAGAAAGACACAGGGAAACTTTATGTCATCACAGTCCCAATAGTACCAGAGAGGTGAGTGAATATATGGTCATCTATAAAACGCTTCACAATTATGCACGTTTAAAAAAACACAAATACACACATTTTCTATATTGCATTTCTCTTAAGGAGACTCATTGTCAATTTAGCTTTTTCATAAACGCAATTTAATTCAATAAAGTGACCTGGGCTGACCATTCAAAGCAATAAACGACCACTTTTTCGTGTGTATAGCTGTGCTAAAGGCCCGGGACTCCCGGTGTACTGGGACATGCTGCTTCCTGTGCTCCAAAAACCAGAGACACTCACATTAGTGTTTTTGCGCGGAGTGAAGTCCACAGCAATAAGAAGTGGATGGCTCCTTAATAAAACTATCATCTGCCCTGTTTCTGCAGGAAGCTGTGGAATCTGCATGCACTGTGAGACCCACTGTGAGCTGAGAAAGAGGGAAGACGCAAAGTCGAATCTTTGGAGGCTGGTCTTACCTTAAAACAGAAACACTTGGCTCGCCGGGGTTGGTGACGCTAGCTACAAACATTCGTCCAAAGCCTCAATCAAATAATCCAGGCGTTTTGCGCCAAGACGCTGCGCATACTCTCCACGAATCTTTCTTTACTCCCTGTTTTCTCGGTAAGCGGAGTTTTCCTACAAGCGGGGCAGACGCCGCGGCGGATCCCGGCTGAGCTCGGTGACAGCTAGACGGCGCAGCTCGGTGCCTTATTGAGCATTTTACCACTGACGAGTCCCGTTTTTGTGAGCCGAAAGCACTTTGGAGCGAACTGCAGCCGTGTCCCAGTGGAGCAGGTCCGACACCTCCTTCTCCCCTCCTCTCCCTTTCAGGCTCTGCTTTGTCAATAGCGTGTCTCCCTCTCTTTCCTGCGCGCTGGCGCTCCAGCTCTCCACTGCGCATCAGTGACCTAACAGTGCGTAGCGGAAACTGAGTACAAGACGTAGAAGTGGTGGTGAGGGGCGATGAGGGAGGAGGGGTGGGTGGGTGGGTGGGTGGTGGGGTTGCCTGAGCAGGAATAGCATTGGTTTGGATCCCAAATACCGATTCCTTCCAGGTCCCCACCCCAGATAGTCGCAGACTTCACCATAATCCCGGTCTAGAGATATCTGCAGACTGGTGCACCTCTACCAACAGCGTCTTATTCTTCTGCAAAGTACGTGACAAGCGTATCACTCAGTTTAAATCCCATGTGCGATGCGCAGGTAGACCTGTTGGCCATACTGCGTTTTTTTTCCCAAAGGAGATACTGTTAATATTAATATAACATCATTTTTTCAACCATGACAAAGAAATGTGAGAAATCCGCTGAAACACTGTTTGTACCTTATGACAGAGGGTTGAATGCACTATCCAATGACCTCCTGCAAAAATATTAAAATTTTGACATTTTTAAGAAGGGGGGAGTCAGTGTGCTATATTTTAGGTGAAAGGGTTAAAGTTTATAAACGAGCAATTTTAAAGTCTGACAGATTAGATTTGAAACCGATCAAATCGCTCACAACCTACTTTACATTTCGCACCAAAAATCCTAAACATGCACAAACTGTCCATGCAACCAACGTACCCGCATAAACCAAACTTTTTAAAAAAATCTGACACATAGACGTGACCACGTGGTGAAGTTGCTTTATTGCAGCGTGAAAACTGCGTCTCATGTAGATTAAGAAGTAAACTGATTACGCAGGCACCCACACTTTTCCCGGTCAGACAAGCTGTTTGTTCGTCAGCGAGCTTTGAAAGGTTTGAACGAGATGTCACAGTGTAAGTGAGTTAATTTGATCCACGTTAAATAACGGATAGTTAGTCAATATTGGATGTGAAAGGGTGTTGAATTTGTTATTTCCTGTGTCTTTTTGTTGTATAACGTTTACTTACTGTCTGACATATATGGTCATGTCATAACTTTGCATTTTCCCAAAGAGCAAAAAAACAGAACCTCACATATAAACAGCAAGCTCCTTCAACACCAACACTTCAAATTCCAAAAACTACCTTTCATCGGAAATGTTCATGTATTTGGATGAACTGTTTGCGTCTGGTGAAATTCAGCTAACCCTTTACTGTTTTTGCAATGTTTGAAAACACTTGTTCATTGGTGAAATTGTATTTTGAAGAATGTTACTTTTGTATCAGGACTGCAGAACAAAGCAGACTGGACTCATTCTGTGAGTAACGTAGCACCATAGTTGTTTCTCCACTTTGTCCAATAACTTTATTTTTAAATCAGGTAGCCACTGCTTGTTAATTAAAAAAACGAACAAAATAAAAAATAAACTTCCACAATTAGACAAGTGGTGACTGACCAATGTTCGTTGTTTGGGCACACATTACGCACAAACTGATCAAAGCAGCGATACGGAAAAACAAGAGAAAACAAACGGCCTCCAGGAGAATGAAGAGACCTAAGTTTCGTGGAACACACTAAATTATTCAAAGCATTAAATAACAACAATATATGAAACAGTAATGAAATATTTGGTACTCATTAGCTTAAGAAGCATATAAAACAATCCTACTTTAAATACGCACGTTTAAAGGAGAATTTTAACCTGCATGAATCCACCCTGCAAACGCTCCCTTTTTCTCTTTATTCAGATTCTGTCAGATAATGCAGCTTAATTGGACCTTGGCTGCAAAGATTTAATGCCCTGATTAAGAAAACAAACAGGCCCGTGAAAAAACCATGGGCTACTAAAAAAGCAAAGTACTAAAAAGAAGTTGGCTTGCTGTTGTACAAAACTGGGAAACACTTCTGAGCTCCAAAGTGAAACAGATATATAAAGCTGTTAGAAACAAAAACAAACAAACAGATAAATTATGCATTTTTGATCATTCAGGAAATAAAGACAACCTTCTAAACAGACAGCTTGGACGCCGAGCTGCAGCTGAAGGCTTCGCTCTGCAATAATGAGCTCATTCTGCAGCTGGATGCGGGAGGACGTCACATTAGCCCGAAAACACGGACGAAGAAGAAGAGTATTCCAGAGAATAGACACAGGCTCTAAATGATGCTCTCTGTCTCTCACTGGCACACACAATATGCAACAACAAATTACGCACACACACACACCAATAAAATGATATATCTATATCTATATCTATGTACATCTATATCTATATCTATATCTATATCTATATCTATATCTATATCTATATCTATATCTATATCTATATCTATATCTATATCTTTATCTATATCTATATCTATATCTATATCTATATCTATATCTATATCT